CAGTACTCTATATTACGCAGCAAGGGAAATACAAACATTTAGAGTATAAACATAAATTTTAGAAACCATAAACACTGTAAATCAGTTGGAATACAAAGAAGAGGGAAGTCAGAAACCAAATACGTGTCTATGCTATATTTAATAGATTTTTTTCTATGTTTTTTTCTTTTCTTTTAGCATTTACAAATAATAATACAATGGAGATTTTAGAACTAAACTTAAAGATTTATATTCTTTTCCATACCATAAAAATAACTCAATGTACTTTGTCTAGTATGATCAATCTTTTATTAATGTTATATTGAGCATTAATGATATAACTTTAGTAATTCTCTTTGCCCACTTATACTTTTTGCAATTATATCTTTGTTTTAAATAAATACATCTCAGTTAACCACAGTACTTTTTGTTTGTGTCTAGAAATGTATTTACTTATTGTATTTTTTGTATTTACTTTATTTACTTATTTTATTTATATTTATTTATTTATATGTATTTACTAATGTATTTACTTATTGTATTTCCACCATAAACAACATGGACTTCCTTCATCTAAAACTAATGTCTATGTATACTGAGGTGAGTTATGCCACTCTGCCACGTGTAATATTGATTTAAATGCTCTGATTCATCTCCATAATCAACTGATTTTGCAACAGACCAAATTTTAACCTAACAAAGTACTGTTAATTTGCATAACGAAATATGGAGACTTCCAAACTGGAGGAGAGAAAATAAGTGTTTTAGAAGAATTATATACTCAGTGTACATATGCATGTGTGTGCGCACATGTGTGCATACACACATGAATACACACACACTCCTACCTATCAACAGCATATGAAATCTCTCAATTACATAAAATTGCCAAATTATGAAAACTGATGACAAGCAGATTGTCAGCCAGTTTGCTTCTTTGCCGCAGTGAAATACATTCCTCCCATTTTGAGTTTTAAATTATCCATATGAAAACATAAGCATAAAAATATTACGTATGATTGGGAATAGTAAAAACTTGGTGGGATGACTTATGACTAGAATATACCAACTAAAGGATACAATTTGTTGAACAGTAACAGCAGTAAGAAAAATGAAGGAGAAATTACACATCTTAAAAGCATCAACACTTGCTAAAAAATCGGAGTGAATGAATTTGGCTATGCTACACAGAGTACCTGAATTAAAGTAAATGTTGAAATAAAGTAAAGTACTGCCCATCCAAACCAAGGAGATGATACACATGATGCTTCCCAAAAGATATTTAAGAACTTTTAGAGTACAAGGGATTTCAATTACCCCTGCATCTGTTGAAAGGCAAACTCTAGGAATCATCATCCTTTCAGGACAGTACTGAATTATTTTGTTGACCATTTTCTCCTTTAGAGACTGAAAGTAGGCACAAGTCCTTGCCTTAAAAGTAATCAATAGGGAAGACTTAGTTGAAGAAATTAAAAAAAGCTGAAACACTTGAGGGAAAGCAGTGTATAATGCTGGAGTTCTCAATTTTAATAGAAACTAAAGCTCAGTATAAACAGATGCATATTTTGTACTTCAAAAAAATAGAATTTAATCAATGCAGAGCAATTATAAGGGTTTTACAGCCTACAAAAAGGAACTCCAGATGGGTGGGAATTTGTAATAAAAACACTACTGGAAACTAATCCTATGAAGGAAGAAGAAAAGGAATAGAACACAAGAAGCCAAAGTAATTGTACAACAGGCAGAGCAAAGAGTTAAAAAACAAAACAAAACAAAACAGACACATATAGAAGGGGTAGAAAGCGAGAAAACAGATCATAGAGATATGTACAAATAGCCTGAAACTGTACCAAAGATGTCAGGGAATCTACAGCTCAGAATAAGCTAAAATTGCTGAAGAATAGTACGCAGAACTAAAACAGCTTCTTCAGAGAAGATAAAAAGAATCAGTATACAGGCGGTCCTTGCTTAGCGACCACTAATTCAGCAACCTTTCAAACTTACAACAGTGCTGAACGAGTGGCACTTATGACCAGTCCTTGTAATTATGATGGTTGCAGCATCCTTGGGGTCACATGATCACTATCTGGGCACTTGGCGACCGACTTGCAATTACAACATTGCAGCATCTCGCAGTCATGTTATCACCATTTACGACTTTCACTGCTGGCTTCTGACAAGCAAAGTCAATGGGAGTTGCAAATGGCGACCACATGACATCATGCTTAATGAAAGCATGGGATTCGCTTAACAATGGCAACCAGAACTATTGGAACTGCCGTTGCCAAGCAGTGCAGTCACGTGATGTCACGCTTTACAACCACATCGCTTAGCAACAGAAATTCTGGTCCCAATTACTGTAGTTAAGTGAGGACTACCTACAAAGGTATGAGGACTATCTGCTCAATAAAGATGGTGAAATGCTAACAGATTAAAAAAAAGAGCAATTCAGCTCTTAGTTTGGCTCAGTCTTCTCCAACAAAACAATGTATTTCATTAGGCAATTGTGAAGAGCAGAATGAAGAAGCAAGACTGAAATTTGAGACTGGCAGAAACACATCCAGAAGTATCTATTTCCTGCAAACAGTTTAATACTCTAAGGGCAGATGAACTGCATCCTACTAAAGGAACTAACAGATGGTCTGCTTGAACACTTTATGTATTATCTGTCAGAAATCCTGAAGATTTCTGTCAAATAACTGGAAAAGGGCAACTGTCATTATCTTCCAAAAGGGAGAAAAAAATTGGTCAACTCTCTTATCAATGCCTGGGAAGATTCCCAAGCACTTCATAAAAAGAGAAATCTGTAAGCACCTTGAAAACAATGCCATAATTACCAGAAGTTAGTATGGATCTGTCCTCAGCAACAAATCTTGCCAGATTAACCCTCCTCATTTTTTAAATCAGGTAACTTCCTAAACAAAATTTTGGGAAAGCTCTAAAGGTAATACATCTTCCTTTCAGCAAAACATCTGACAAAGTACTCAATGACATTCTGGTTAATGTGTGCTAGTTACGTATGGGCTAGATAACATGACAATTAAATAGATACATAGCTAGTGTGGTAATCTCATTGCTGGTGAGCTACTAAGAGGCTACCAAAAGATTCACTTCTTGGCCTTCTAATCATCAACATGTTTAGTAATAAATTGGATGAAAAGATGGAAAGAATCCTTATCAAACCGCAGATCTCTCTTTCCTACTTGTATTTTTAGTCAAATATCTCCTATATATTCAGCCATCAGCATAGGCAAAGGCAGTTCAGGACTGCCTGCAACATGGATAGCCTCAGTACAAATGTGGGTCCAAGAGACTGATCCACACTATCATCTCTCCCATTAACATGGGGTTTATATCTAGAGTTTCTAGATTCAGAAGTTATTTTTTATCCAGGATATGTTTCCTCAGTATTTACATCCAGGAAATCAATCAACATCTACCAAATCTTGTATAACCATTGATATTTCCCAAAGTGGTAATTAAATCTATCTCTTCCTCTAATCACCCACCTCTCTGCAGACAGCAGCAATCTGGGCCTCATCCATACAAGTCTCTGTAACTACATCGGTAAGAGATCCACCAGCCAGATACTCCATTACAACAAAAAGTTCATCTCCAACCAGGTAACTGAAGACAGAAAATCAATGTTAAATTTCAACACACTGAAACAACTGTTTGAAGTTAGATTTGGAAAAGAAGCTGAAATAAATATGTAATATAAATTCATTAATGGTGGAGGTGTTATATATTACACCACTGCTGCGAGCCCTGCATTGGCTGCCAGCTGGCTTCTGAATACAATTTTAAATGCTAGCTTTAACCTATAAAAGCCCTTCATGGCTTAATGCAAAGGGACCTGCCTCCTTCAACCACAATCACCCTGACAAATACAAGCAACCTGGGAAAGACTAATGGTTCCCCATTACCAGGAAATTAGAAGGGCTAAGGCTAGGAGCAACACACACTTCCCATTATGGTCCTCTCATTGTGAAATAGTTTTTATCAGATATTAGGCTTGCTCTGATCCTATTGGCTTTTGAAAGTAAGTTAAAAGAGAGCTCTTCTGGGGCAATGCAGAATTGTTTATATGCTCCTATTTTAAGATAATTTAATTTACTACAATTGTTTTTATTATTTTTGTATTATGGATGTTTTTCATAATATGCTGCCAGTTGCATGATTGCAGACATTTAAAAAGGCAATAAACAAACAAACAAATGGATTAAATATGGGAGATTAGGTGTTGGAATGCTTTTCTGTAGCTAAGTAGCAGTATTCTCTCCCTTTGCCCACCCTTCCCTCCTGACTATGTGGGCTGAATCTACCCTAGACCAGATAGGACTTTTATCAAAACATCATGCAGATGCCTTCCACATCCTAGGCTGGGAAACAAACAGCAAAAAGTGCATTATCACATAAAGGTGGAGAAAAAGATACAACATTTAAACCCTGGATCTGTTACACAGAGTGGGCTGGGTTGCTAGAGTCAAAAGCATCCTTGAGAATGGGGAGGTGGGAAGGAGAATGACAAAACCTCTATTGCACCCTCACAATGCAAGTTCCACCCTTTCTGTTTGCGCACCATGACATCACGTGCATGTATGAAAGGGCTAGAGCTTGCAGTGCAACACTGCCTTCATTGTGTTCACAAAAGCAGCAAGATCCTGAAAATGTCCACAGCTAGAATCTACTTATCATCTTCAAGTAACTTATCTTCATTACGGTTTCTTGCGTCTGCAATAAAAGCAAGTTATCTATTCAAGTCTTGACCTTGACTCTTTTACTGTTCAGTTCAAAGTTTATTTCAGTCAAAGACCAGTATACAACAAAACAATCAACAAACAATTTGAAGGTAAAAGAGAAAGGCCAAATATAAAACACAAGCTAAAAGGAAAGAACAGATTATTATCAGTATTACCGGTATAAACTGTGCCTCTAAAGCTAAGAAACAGTGTTATTTGTCTAAAACTAAAATGTGAAACTAAAATTCTAAGACAGAAGTGTGTGTGTGTGTGTGTATTTAGTGTTATTCAAGAGTTAGTCACATGTGCACTAGATTAAGGAATGTGGGGGTTAATCAGCTTGGATCCTACCTCGCAGGCAGCATAACAGAATTTGGCAATGTCTAGGGAGGTAGAGTCCCTTTAATCCAAAAAAGAGTTTGTATACAGAAGGTATCAGAGTAATATGCGTACTTTACCAGATAAGGAGAAATAAAACATTTTAGTATCCATATAAAAGGAGCAGTACAGTAAAATATAGGCAATAAATTCTACAGCACTTGTATCACATGGACACAATCTGGCATCATATGGAATTTTTTTGTATCTGCCTTCCAGAATATGACTCTTCTACTGTTAGCTTCTGACATCCAGTGAGATAAAGAAATGTAGAGCTAATCCTCGCTTAACAACAGTCTAGAGTTACAATGGCCTTGGGAAAAGTGCTTTACGACCCCTGCAGTCACATGATCACAATTTGTAACCTTTTTATGACAGTCATTAAGTGAATCACATGGTCGCTAAGCAAATTCCAGTAAAAAATGTCCACTGGGGAAGTTAGATTAGCTTTACCACGTGATTCACTTAACGACCACGTGATTGCTTAACAACTGTGGTGATTCGCTTAACAACCATCATAAAAAAAAGTCATAAAATCAGCTCTGATTCACTTAACAACCAAATCACTTAGCAACCTAAATTCTGGTCCCTGTTGTGGTCAGATAGTGAGGACTACCTGTATATATCACTATTATCTATCTATCTGTCAGTTAATTAGTCCATCAGTAACAGTGAGTATCTTGGGTCTCTTTCTCCCAAATCATAACAGATTCCTTGATGTTTGTTTTCTAGCCTTGGATGTGGAAAGCACCCACATCTTCTTTTGAAAATGGTCTTGTCTGGCCTCAGACACTTTGCTTCCAGCCTTGGCAGCTTCAACCCTCACAGTACCTTTTATCAAGGCAGTAACTGCCCTGATGATTCAGCTGTTGCCTGAGTATCAGTAACATATCTAGTGTTAATCATCTCTCATATATACATGTAATTTACTGTTATTAAGTAACTATTACACTAAAAGTTGTCACAGAGAGAAAGATAGAAAGGAAGGCAAGTAAGGGCCACTATAGAAGTCTGTTCAGCTAGATGCTTCCCTCCCCACTCATCATTATCACCAACAGCCAAGAAGATTATAACTTAAAACATTTATTATATTGTTATTTGCAATGGGTTATATTCTTTGTAAGCAATTTTAGAAGGGCTGTGATCCTAAAAGATAGGACACAAATAATTATACTGTATTAATAGTAGTAATAGCCTTTTTTAAAAATAAGTAATGATTACTACATGAAAATCTTTAATTGTATTGTCTAAAATTGTTGTCTTTTATTAGAGAGTGACTTATTCCAAGATAAAAGTCTAATTATTGCAAAACAATACTAACTCAGATAAAGTGTTTCTTTTTGGAATTCCAAAGTTATATATTAATGTTTTATGTATGCTTCTTACCATTCCTTTAAGAAACTTAACATATTGGTCTTACAAGATGGAAGAATAGACAAAATAAGACATGGCCAAAGCTTTGAGTTTTGATCTTGGCTTAAAACAATCCATCAGCTACATGATGTACTTAGTTACCTGTCTAAAAAGTTGACTATGTTTGGGTTCTTCAGCTCTTTCATTACCAAGATCTCATTGATAATCAACTCCTTTTTGGGCTGTTTCTGTAGATTTATTTGTTTGATAGCAACCTGAAAAGGTAAAGAAAGAAACCAGAAGTTGATATTCAGAGAGAGGCAATTGTATATAATCTGTGGTTTACACATTTTAAGTTAAATTATTGGGCAAAATCTAGACCAAGTTAAATTCAATAACCATTTGGTTCCAGTGTGAGGATAGACTGAGCAATCCCTGAAAATTACAGCCAAATAAATAAAACTAAAACTAATGATTAGTAAACAGAAAGAAGTATATCCTTGTTCTTGAAAGATACATAAACTTCTAACTCTGAAGTTAGCTTTTATGGCCAGGGGCAGTAGTAAGATCTACACTGTCAAATTAAACTTCCTCCAATAAATCAACAGAATTGCTTAATATTATGGCTAAGGTAAAACTGATTCAGAAGCAGATTAAATGTGGTAATTTTAAAAAATAAAGCAAGAACGCAAGACATTAAGAGTCTTATGGGATGTCTTAAAAATACTGAAGAGACAAGTAACAACCCACATGTGGAACAAAGCAGGCACATAAGACTGCCTAATTTAAAAACGATGGTTATAAAGAGGGTCTATGAATTATTTGGCAGAGAAATAGCAAGATAGCTTATGGTGGGACAAAAGAAAGAGGGACAAACAATTTCTAGATTACTTGCAACCACAGATCCTTGGGGGAAGGGAGAGACTTGAGTATTAAAAATATTCAGTGTGCATCCTTCACATCCAATCTCCTCCAGAGGTGGGCAGATTATTTTCTACCCCCTCTCCCCATCCCCTGTCCATTTGATACGGTTAAAACATGCATAGACAGACATAATTTCACTAATACAGGGAGCATACATTTGGATAAGATAGGTAAGTACACCAAAGATTTAATGGTGCAATGACAGTTAATGCCATCTTGCAAGAAAAATAGCAACAAGCATTTGACCTGGTTTAAGTTTAATTTATTAGTTGTGTATTATCATTATTTATTTTGGATGCTTTTTCCTCTTTATTCCTCTTTGGAAGTAAAAAGGAAGAGAAAAATGGCTAAGATTGGCACTGAGAGATGGCATACATTTATGTCAAGAGGAAGTTCTCACAAAGGTTAACCAGAGTACAAAAAATTAAATGTACATCTAACTCTTGTTCAAATATGAACAAAATGAGGAGTGTTTAAACAACTGAGAAACAGAATAACTGAATATAAATGCTTTGGTGTTTGCATATACAATTAATTAGACCTTACTTTTTACAAGACGTTCTAATTATTTTAATGGTCACTAGTCAATTCTACAGAATAAACCAATTGCTGACAACTTTGAAGTTTCTGCTACTATGAGACAGAAATTGGTTTTGCTTCTTTTTTTCACATCTCTTGAGGGAAATTCAAAGACATTAGAAGTTATATATTGTTCTTACCTCCTGTCCTGTCGCAACATCTATTGCAATGAAAACTGTACCAGAAGCCCTAAGAAAACCAAATACGCAATTAGTTGTAGCATTTCAGTTATTTAACATGCAGATGCATGAACAGACAAAGCCTTGTATTTCCTGGAGGATTTCATTGTACTTTAAAAACAAGGATAAGGTGGGACTAAATTGTAAGCTAACCTACAATATGATCAAAGGTTACACAAAATAACACAGCAAAACCTAAATCTTTCATTTTTATAAAACAAAGAAATAATACATTCACCTGGGCAGAATTTGTAGCCTGCTTTGGGTTACATTTGGGGCTTAGAATAAACTCATTCTCTATTTTCTTCCACAGGAGGGAGAAAAAGCTCATTCTGAAGTTAAGCAGGAAACAAATGGCAAGCTACTTGGAATTCTTGCCTCACAAGAATTTCCTCTTTCCATTAAATAAATTGTAAATAGTACAGCATATTAATAATTGTCCCATGGTTTCCTTTTCTATTGGAGATCTGGTTTGATTTATATGCTGATACACAGAGACTCACGCACACCCCAACACATATATATGCTAAGATAATAAAGAAAATTGAATTTGATTAATTATCAGTATACGTACAGCGTATTTGTGAATACTTACCCCTGTCCTATTTTTTCATATCTGGTATATTTTTTCTTGGGATCTCCTATACTCACAATTGTTCCTAAAAGAAGATTATAATTATAATAGTATAAGCAAACTAAGAAACAGCAGCAGATCAAAAGCAATAAAATAGACAATACGTAATCAGGTTACAAGTCACTATTTTCTGTTGTATTGGTTTGGATCCAACATTTCTGTATTTATTAAAAAGATGAAAGAGATATTTTTATCAATATTTCTGTTTCATGTAAAGCTGTCTGCACGCTTCCTTTATTAGCACTAATTCTGCTCTCTTCAACACAGACGTTATTCATTTCACCCCTTATAATATATGCAGACAATCTACAGGTCATCTGCAGTCCCACATCATTTTTTTCTGCAAAGCCCTGAAAAACCATTCCCTATCTCTGCTATTTAGTGAACAACTGTATGCCAGGAAACCGATCACAATTTCTCCAGTGTTAATTGCGCTGAGAAAAATTATCGGGGGTGGGGGAGTCACTGGAAAATGAAGGGAAGCAAAATTCCCCGGCACCAAGCAATTCTGATTATCAACTTGTCATTTCTAACAACAGTGGTTATCTGAAACCAGATTGCCAGGAAATGGATTAAGGATAAAGGCTCTTTCTTCTCTATTACTTCAGTATGCATTGACGTATGTTCGTATGTCATCATTTAGCGAGTTTTATGGAGTCCAGCACAGCCCCCAACTCAAGTACTGCCTGGGCTCTGCTATTTTACAAAAACTAGAGATCTTTTTATGAGGATCTGCAAAAGTAGAACATTCAAAAATCAGTTTTTGTCTGCAGCATAACTGATAATGAAGCTAAAGGGAGACCTATATGCAAAGGAGATTATGGAAATGCATACCACAAATATTAATCACAAATAAAGTTTATCACTCTGTGATTTTTGAACAAGCGAAGATCACTTTCTTCAGGATTTTTATCCACCAGATAATATCCACCAGATACAACATAATATATTTAATACTGCTTTCCAGTGAAATAGACCATGTTTCTTTCCACCCAGATGATCTGCAAATGAGACCTCATTAGGACTTCAGATTCTGAAATTTAGAGTTGTGTGAAAAAATCAGACTGGGTAAGGCTTAAGAAGCACATTTTTGAAGGGGCCTTTTTCTCAAAATTAAAAGCAATTCTCCCCCAGTGTAGCATCAGTAGTCATTCTGTCATTCACTTCAAATATAGCTTTACACTTTACCCTTATCATCTGATATATATACCTAAAGCCTCCATACAAAAATGTTTGTTTTCTGTTAAAAATGATATGAGAACAGTATGAGTATAGAAGATTCTCCTAAACAATATAGTAAATAGAAATTCTTGCTTCTTTTCCCTGTTCACCAGTTTATTAAACTAACACCAATCCTCACATCATTCCCACAGTGTATCTGCACAAGAAAGCCTACTCACTATTTCTACAGAGCTGGATCCAAATACACATGAAAGGATAATTCTTGATTCATTAGTTGGCAGCACCCAGTCTCTTTTGTCTGATCTCAGAAAAACTAAGTACCGTCAGACCCGACTTGTACTTGGATGGGAAAACACAAGGAAATTCCAGAAGTATAAGCTAGACTGGGGTACCTAATGTAACATCCCAGAAGAAAGCAGTGGCAAGCCACTTCCATATTTTTGCCCAAAAAACTACATGGCTGTGTTCATGTAGTCGCCAGGAATCAAGCTTGACTCAAGGAAGTCTTTACTTTTACGTGCAGACTACGCAGTAGGTATGGTTTTAGGCTAATCAATGCCTTATCTTCATGACAATCATAAAATTCCTACTTACGTAATTTTTCTGTGATCTCTTCATCTGACATCTTGGTTTTCTTTTTCTGCTTATCGGCTAATTTAGCACTGTCACTTGGATCGCCAGATGGTGCTGGGATGGGATCTATTACTGATCGTGTATAAACCTGTAACAAATAAGGTTACTGGTTGTAACTGCATGGTATTTTAACACCTATTCAAGTTCAATTACCACATATATTTATAGCCACCACTGTATAGCTACATAACTATTTGAGTTCACGAACTAATACCAAAGTTTGGTGCATAATGATTATAAAAACGGAGCCTTGAATTTTTTTCCAAGTATCATACTATGAACCCAGATAGAATTTAGCTTCCGAATGTGTTCTATAGTTCTAAATGAACAATAAAACTACAGCAACTGCTAAACTAGGAAGTTGAAAGCCAACCCAGAAGTCAGCAAGGGAAAATCACTTCCACACTGTTGGCAAGAAAGCTGCATGAATTTCTCCATATGGTGACCATGAGTTCATCTTGATTCAAACATGTTTTTACTTTTTTTTTTACAAAGATAAAGAGGATTGGTTTGTATAATCTGATGAATTATATTATTTTGCATATTTTGATCTCCAGACTATCACCCTCTACAAACATGGAGTTAATTATTCAAGTCATTCTCTGCCCTTAGTAGCCAAATACAGGAACAAAGTAAAAACAAATCACTTTTCTGATATTTAATTCAGATGGTGAGTGCTGACCAAAACAGGAAACTTAAGATGCTAAGAAACAAGAGAGATGGTAACAATTTTGCAGAAGTATAAAATATTGGCTTTAAAACAGAAACAGTCCTGTTAAGGTAGGCAACTACACTGCAAGATGTAGGCCTCGTTAATCAAAAACAAATTATGTATCTTTCTCTGAAAGTGCTTAACAGCTATATCACACTGAACAATAACAATACAAAATAGGACTGTGGCTAAAAGTAAGAGACTGATCTAAGTTACCAAGACAGTTTGATTTAAGAGAGATTTGAACTAAACTTCCTCAGATTAGAGGAAAACTGCAGAAAGCTCTGCTATGCATTAAGTAGTGAAAATGAAATATAACTTCTCACTGATTTTGTATGATCTGGTCGTGGAGCAATAACTGGAGGAGCCACTTCATCTTCCTCTTCCTCTTCAGTTGCTGTTGAAGGCTCTGACCTTTTTGCATTAGGCTATAAAGTAGGGATTTTTTTAAAAAATGTGGAAAATAAGTGAACTGTACTATAAAACATCTATTTATGAGACTTACTACTTCATTATAAAAAGTATAGTTGAAAACACTATATAAGAGTGCAAAATATCATACCCATTTGAAACGTTTATAACTGAGAAGGCTCAGTACTATTGTTGCACTTCATGTCTGGGTGGAGAGAATATAGAACTCAAGATACATATATCCAAACTATGCAATCTGTATACCAAAAAATCAGTGTGCACAGCTTATCCTATAAGGACTTGTGAACAAAAGGGTTTTATGTATATAAGCTGCCACAGAAATTGAACTCCAAAACTTGAATGGCAACTGGAATCTGAAGGACCAAACTATATCGTATGGATTTAAGCCTTAATATTGGACTTCTGTTTTTGCAGAAGGTAAAAGCAGCACCTAACTGATATTGCCTCTGTGAGAGAGAAGAAGGTCAAGAAACCATCTCACCCTTCCTTCTCCCAAGTTGTCTCTCTCCCTTTCCACTGAGCTTTTGTATGAGACAACATGGCAAAGCACTGCTGGTACTTTCTACAGAAAAATAACTTATAGTAGAGATCCCACTTTTCTTTTGTTTAAGCTGAATTAATTTATGAGACTTTGGCTTTGTTATAATAATAGTTTCTGATCACATGATCCTGAAAGACCTACTAATGAACTTAACTTCTAATTAGAACTAGACAACCCATGACCAGTTGGGTCATCATTTCAGAGATATTTCCTTATCTAAACAGAGAAACAGAATGGGCAAAAAAGCAGTGGGAGTATGAGTGACTTATGACTTGCTGCCAGCTTCCCCACTGACTTTACTTGTTGAAGCTGGCAGGGAGCATCAGAAATCTTCCTCCCTCCCTCCCTCCCTCCCTAATTCTTCCCCCCCACCTTCTTTCCTCCCTCCCTCCTTCCTTCGCTCATTACCACATATAATAAAGGCTTGTGCCATTTCCCCTCCCCTCGTGACCCTCAGGAGAGCCCTAGTGAAGCCTCCTCCTTGGCTGACCCACAGAACGGCCTGCCACTTTGCTGGGGGGAGGTGGAACAAGGGGAGCTGCAGACCATGAGGGAAATTGCATGTGACAGAGGGAGGCAGGAAAGAGACTGGAGATACACCTATGATGATCACATGGCCTGGGCTGATGGCAGTAGTGCAGCAGTGCTGAAGTAGCCAAAAATTCCAAAATGTTAATCCTATAGCAGTAGATTTTGGACACATTCTGTAAGTTAGCCCATTTGAGGTACCGTGGTTCAAAAATTGTTGCCCTATGACGCACCATTTCGCCCACTTGAAGATTACAGACAAAAGAGTTTTAGTAGTATATAGATGAATGAAATTAGCTCTCTGGTAACTAATTAGGTTGAAAAAACACTATATCTGAAGTTCAATAAAATTAGTTTACAACAACAGGATTTCAATGATATAAAAGATGTAAGAAATACAATGTAAATGTACTTACTGCTAGTGCTCCTGAAAGAAATCCATCGTTATCTAGAAAAAAGATTTAAATTATTTAATGTGAATAAAAAAATTTGAAGTATTAATGCAGTAACAATAACACTCATAAAATGTATTGAAATCACACTCTTTGTTCCAAAGTAAGTTCTAAATTAACTGAAGTATGGAAACAAGTTCTAACCTTTAGTTATATATATATATATAACTGTCTGTCTATCTATCATGTGCTTACAGTAAAAAAAAGCCCTACATTGGTTCAACTATTTTCTAAAGGCTCTTACCAAAGGAACAAAAGCACAGCATAAGGAATGAAACTGATTCTCATCTCCTGCACTATTAGAACAAAGTATCCAGCAAACTGCTGCCTGAAGAAATCAAGTACTGAATTCATACTGTTTGCATTTCATGACACTACTGGCTTTAATATCCAAGGGAGTTAAAAATATTTAATATTTTGATGCACAATTAAGTAAATCTTAATTATAGTTCAAGTCAAGTTTATTTTTAATAAAGTGCACTTTGGGCTGCCCTACCTTCATTAACTGAAAGGAGAAAGTTGATCTGCAAACCACGTGCTGCTCACTAACTTCTAAACAAATCCAATAAATAAAACAAATGCTCCATTTCTATTCACTGGCCTTAAATAAATATTCTGCCCTAGCCATAGTTCATATCAGGACCAATAAGAAAAGGCACCTAAAAATAGTAATTCGTGACCAGTTGACCCAAACCTACTCTTAAATAAGCTCACTAAGGGAGCTCACAGGAGCTTGCTGGGGAACGCGTTCCCATACATGGATTCTACAGCACTTAGCAAAGACCATTATTTTTTCCCCTTTTTATTATGTTGTTATATATCTTGATACATTGTTTCATTACCGGGCCAGATATCATCATCTGATGATGATGTTATCCACTGATGTTACCTAGCCTTGTAATGAAACATCTGCAGGAAAAGATCACCAAAAAACCCAACAAGGTACAATTTATTCAAAATGAACACATCTTTTAAAAAAATGGAGATATGTATTGTACCACACATAAAGAAAAAAATTACTTGCACAGAAATTCAGGAATCAGAGCATAGGAATCCTGCTGAATGTATTCAGGGGGGAAAGGACAGAGAAACAAAAGTAATACAATTACGGGAGTTTATTACAAACCATCTAAGCCGACCAAAGATTTATGAGTCCTGTGTCAGATGACCAGTCTTAAAGAGGCACGCATTAGTGATAATGGGAGATTTCAATTATCCTGACATGTGCTGGGAATCTAATTTTGCTAAGGATTATAAGCCCACCAATTTCTTGTTCTATATTGTTGACAATTTCATTTGTTGAAAGATGGAAAAAAAGCAAGGGATGTGATATCTTGCACCTAATCCTCACCAATGTGGCAGAATTGATTGTAGTGAAGGTGACTCACACCTTGGGGAAAAGTTATGTTATCCTTGAATTTGTGATAACCAAAGGAACTGCAACTGAGAAGTGTCAGAGGTGTATACTGAGCTTAAAAAACGTGGATCCTGATGAACCTCAAATGATGGTAGAAAAGAACCAGTGACTCCAATTATTTAAGGAGAAAAGTGTCCAGGGTCGATGGGAAATCCTACAAAACAAGATACTAAAGGCACAATAACAATCCTCACAAAAAGAAAAAATGGGAGAGCCATGAAGGAGGGGAACATAATCAAAGAATACAAGGTAATTTACAGAAACCACAGGAACTGTGTTAGAGTAAAGATCAGAATGAGTTGAGGTTTGTGAGAGATACCAAAAACAATTAAAAAAGGGATTGTTGGGCATGTTAGAAAGAAAAACCAAAGAAGTTATAGGTTCATTGCAAGGGTTAGGTGAATCGGTAATGGCTGATGGTAAGGCAGAAGAACTTCTTAATTCCTAGTTTGCAACTGTCTTTTGTCAGAAAGGAAATGGAGCCTTAGCTAGTCAACTTTATGCCATTCGGGGAATAAGAGAATTATAAATTAGAATAGACAAGGGGAGGATAAGAGAGAATTTACCTAATTTAGACTAGTGGAAGTGATTGCAAAACAACTCTCAGTAAACTTTGATAACTCCTGGAATACTGTTGAAGTACAGAGGAGGAGAGTAAATGCTATTCCTATCTTCAATAAAAGGAGGACTCAGGAAATTATAGACTGTCAGTTTGATGTTTATATTGGGCAAGGTCTTCAAAGAGAATATCAAACAGCAGGTTTGTGAGTACTTGAACAGGCATACTGTATTTAACAGGAGCCAGGATGGGTCTGTTGCAAACAAATTGTATCAAACTAACCATCTCTCTTCCTCCTTTGATAAAGTTACTAGTTTAATAAATCAGGGGAACGCTATAAACAAAGTGTATTGGACCTCAGCAAAACCTTCAATATGCCAGATTAAAAAAGAGTCATATAAACTAAAAGCTTTTGCAGATGACTTGGTTTTGGCAGACCCCTTAAAGGGAGGTGAATTTTTAATGAGTAAATTATAGGTAGTCCTCACCTAATGACTACAATTAGGACTGGAATCTCAATCATTGAGTGAAGTGATCGTTAAACAAGACACCTAGGTGACTGCTTTGCTCAATGACCACAATCCAGGCACTTCTGGTTGTGGTGGTTAAGCAATCTCTCAGGTCATTAAGCAGATGGAGTGAAAAAGCTGTCTGCTCAAGGATTTTAGCTCCAATCCTCCTGGCAGGCAGCTCTTTAAGAGCGAAAGTGCCGCCTGCCGGATTGTTTCAGTTCATTTCAGTTCCGCGTGGAGCTGAAATCCTCCCACCAGCAGCCCTTTGGCCCTCAAATGTTTCTGCAGTCCACCAAAGGGATTACCCTTCCCTCCACAGATGGAGGGGAAATCTTGAAGATTTGAGCTCCATTCCTGCACACTGCCAAGAGGTTTCCCTTCCCCTCCACGGACAGAAGGGAAATCCTTCATAGGGCTGGAGGAATGGAGCTCTGTTCCTGCACACCGTCACTTGCAATCTTCCCTGCATTGACTTCTGCCGGGTGCTTGGCAACCAGTCATAAATGTGAGCCAGTTGACAACTGCCCAAAATGTGGCCATGTAACCATGGGGGGGATGGCGTTTTATGATGGTCAGAAGTGCTTTGCGGGCCGTAAAGCACACTTTTTGAGGCAGTCATGACTTCAAACCGTCATTAAACAGTCGTTAAGCAAGGACTACCTGTAAAGGAATCTGGGGCCTTAGCAGGTTTCAAGATTAATAAACAGAAGACAAAGATGTTAACAAAACAAAATGAAGATACAAGTTCAAAGAGAATGATGAATAAAAGGGGCTTTAAAACTGAGAAGGAAAAATACTTGGGTATAACTATGACAAATATGAATTGTATGTTATTTAAAAATAACTATGTTAAGACATGGAACAAAGTTTAAAAAGATGTGTCAAGATGGGACAAATTACAATTGTCACTTTTGGGTAGAATTTCTGTGATTAAGACGAATGTTTTATCTAGAATGTTATTTTTGTTTCAGACCATACCTGTTTTGACAACTGATGTACCATTTAAACAGTGGCAGAAGAATATATCTAAATTTGTATGGCAAGGGAAAAAAACCCCATGAGTTAAATATAAGGTACTACATGATACCAAAGAAAGAGAAGGATTGGGCTTACCAGATTTGAAACTATATTTTGCTGTCTGTAGTTTGAATGAAAGAGTTGGTGTTGTTCAGAAATAGGTTATTGGATTTAGAAAGTCATGATCTAAGATTTGGATGGCATGGATATCTATGGTATGCTAAAGCAAAGGTGAATGTAGATTTTAAAAATTATATTAGACGGGCTGTTCTTAAGAGTATGGAATAAATATAAATTTAGGTTTTGCCCAAAGTCACCTTTGTGGCTTTCAGCACTAGAAGCATTTTATAGACAAGAAATGATAAGTAAACATAAATGGTTAACCTACCGTGTTGTATTAGAATTTTCGCAAGGGGATTGCAAAATGAAATCAAGAAAAGATTTGACAACAGAAGGATATTCTTGTCAATGGTTTTCTTATATACAATTATCAGAAAAGTTTAAAGTAGATAAAAGATTTTATGGTTTTGAACAAAGTAAGACTGAGTTTGAAATAGAATTATGTACTAACGATGACCATGTTATTGCTAAAATGTATAAACTTTTGCTGAAATGAGAGACAGAAGAACAAGTGAAAGAAGGTAGGATAAAATGGGCTAAAAGTTTTGGCTATAATATATAAATGGATCAATGGGAAAATATGTGGTTGAAAGGACTGAAATTTACATTATGTTCTAGCCTTAAAGAGAGTTTTTATAAAATGATGTATTGTTGTTATTTGTCACCAGATAAATTGGGATAAAATGGGCTAAAAGTTTTGGCTATAATATATAAATGGATCAATGGGAAAATATGTGGTTGAAAGGACTGAAATTTACATTATGTTCTAGCCTTAAAGAGAGTTTTTATAAAATGATGTATTGTTGTTATTTGTCACCAGATAAATTGTCTAGAATGTTATAAAAGTACTTTGAATCTTTGCTGGAAATGTGAACATGAAGGGACATTTTACCATGTTTGGTGGACATGTAAGAAAGCCAAAAAAATTTGGATACAAATACATTCATTAATTCAGAATATTTTAAAGGTGAAAATACAACTGAAACCAGATACTTTTCTTTTGGGACTAATGGAGAAGCAATTAGAAAAAAGTCATGGGACTTTGTTTTTATATATGACAACTGCAGCAAGGCTGTTATATGCTCAAAAATGGAAAGGTTCGACACTACCCACAATGGAGGAATGGCTGGTGAAGATGATGGAACTTGCAGAGATGGCTAAATTAATTTATTTGATTAGAGAAAAAAACAATATCTACATTAATGGCTGACTAGAAACCCCCTATAGACTTTTTGCATGAAATGGAAAAAGATGCACTTATAATTTGTGGCTTTGATGTTTAGAAAAAAACTGGACAAGAGAAAAAAGTGAGTCTTTTTGTAATCATACACTAAGAGTTAATTTTGTAATTGTACTTATATTTGTTGCAAAAGAAACTGGAGGCTTTTTTTTTTCATTTTGTACTCTCTTTCTGCACTTTTCCTTTCTTCTTTCTTCTTTTTCTTTCTTGGCTCCTTTTATCTATCGGTTTGGGTTAGTTTTTATGTTCTTTGTAAAACTTTTAACAACATTTATAAAAAAAACCTTCAGTATGCTACCTCATTATATTCTTCTTCATGAAATGGTACAACAGGGGCTAGATGATGCTACTGTTAGATGGGCTTGCAGTTGGCTGAATTACCACACCCAAAGAGTGTTCATTAATGGCTCTTCGCCTTGGAGGGAAGAATCCAGTGCAGTGTCACATGGCGGTGGCCTTGGCCCAGTGTCACAGTGAGTTGAGGGAACATTTATAATGTCGGCAGATGATACAAAGCTGGGAGGGATGGCTAATATTGTAGATGAAAAAAGAAGATTCAAAAAGGTCTAGACAGGCCTGAGCAATGGGCTGAAATAAGTAAGATGGAATTTAATAGGAAGAAATGTAAAGTTCTACATCTGGGTAATAAAAACATAAGGCACAAGTACAGGATGTGGGAGGCCTGGCCTGGCAGTAGGACTTGTAAAAGGGAACTGAATTTCTTTCTGACCGCAGGCTAAACATGAACCAGCATTGTGATGCAGCTGCCACAAAGGAAAAAGTTATCTTTAGGTGCATTAACAGGAGCATAGAGTCCAGATCACAGGAAGTAACTGTCCCATGCTATTCTGCCTTGATCAGACCCCACTCGGAATACAGTATCCAGTTCTGGGGACTGAAGTCCAAAAACAACATTGACAAACTCGAGCAAGTTCAGAAGAGGACTATCAAGTTGGTGAAAGATCTGAAAACCAAGCCTTATATGGAATGATTAAAGGATCTGGGTATGTTTAGCCTACAGAATAAATGGCTGAAGAGAGATATGATAGCAGTCTTCAAGTAACAGAAGGGCCGTTACACAAAGAAGGAAGGAAGCTTATTCTCTACTGCCCCAGAGGGCAGAACCAGAACCAATGGATTAAAACTCCAAGAAAGAAGGTTCAGGCTAGATGTTAGAAGACATTTCCTGACCGTACAAGTTGCCAGCCAGTGGAAGAGGCTGCTGCATGAAGTAGTGAGTTCTCCTTCATTAGAGATCCTCAGACAGAGGCTGGATAGTAAGAGATCTCTAGTGGAATCTGCACTGAGCAGGAAGCTGGCCTAGATGATGTCTAAGGTCCATTTCAATTCTAAGACTCTATGACAAATCTAATCATAGTGTTAAATCATCCTTAAATCATGCATGGAGCTAGTAACTTTAGTCTTTAGATGGGCAGAGATCTATATCCTACTTTAAATAAAAACAAACTCACATCGGCAACTGGTCTCTTCTTTCTCAAATGCCCTTCCAATTCTTTAAATGGGTTAAAATTCATATGCCAATTACTAAAATCATCTCTCCAAAACAGCTGCACAGTTCTGGCAAAAGATACAGCTAAATTAAAGAATTGCAGACATATGCCATGTTCATTTTCTGAAACACTTCTAATTATTTCCAAAATGCTGGAAAGCTCTATTATACATAACTTTGCCCATTTATACATCAGTTTTTTAATAGTGAGTCTAAGGTGCCCCATGAGTTTGCCCAAAGTCATACCTGTAGCAGAAAAACTCAAATATTTCTGTATTGCTGTGTCTTTAGAATCATAGAATTTTAAGACATCTAATACAGCCTGGGGATTCTTTTTCTGTTCTAACTTTGTGATGTTTGACGTCTGCAGCAGCCTAGCCCACTGCTCTGGCATTCCCTGAAAAAAGAACACAAATTCATGTATTTTAGCACTGAAGTAGAAAATCTATTATTTTATATCCTCCCAAATGATAAATCTCTTGGAATAATTCTAGTTGCATAAAGGTACCAAGTATGTCACTAATCTTTGGGGGAGGGGAAGGAGTATTTACTGAAATATTTTAGTTTTGAAATATATGAAAATCTTGTAACAAAAAAGGTAAGAATTTTTAAGCATTCTTTTTTATAATGGCAATATCCCAGTGTACATTGCACAAAGACAAGCTTAGTATACTTACAGTGAATTCTCCAGTAACAGCATCAAAGCCAACATGAATGGTATGTTCAAAATCTGATGGAGGAGAAATTTCAGGTCTCTCTTTTTCCTTTTTCCTACTCCCTATAATAATAATAATAATAAAAAAGGCATATTTAGTTTCAGAAAGGTGTCATCCTTTCTGAAGTTCAATCATTTTGAAATGTTAGTAAACCTGCCAGTAACACTTAAAGCATTATGTATAGAAAACTGTAAAATCTAGAATTGCTCCATTGTTCTAGTATCCAGAAAGTTTTGAACCAGACATTGAATCAAATTTCAGCTAAGTCATAAATGAACAAACTTTTAGTTGTAATACCTCTGTGAATCAAGGTATTTTATTTCAAATATATAAATGAATTATGCTTGTACAACCTTATTTTTCTATTTATTATAAAAAATAAATACTCAAAAACAAATATAAATACTTAAATGCTTAAGTATTTATAGAAATACTTAAATATAAATACTTAAGTATTTATAAAAATACTTAAATATAAATACTTAAATACTTAAGTATTTATAAAAAAATAAATACTTAAAAACTAATATAAAAAGCTCCCAATGTCACCTGAAGTCCTGATAGAAGTTATTAGTTTGTTGGCTGAAATCTGAAAGAGAGATGGCAATAGAGGGGTTCTGTCATGGAACTCTACAGAGTTTAGCAAAACTATCAAAAATCTGTTTGTCCAGAAAGAATACCACCTAACCTTTCATAGTAATTTGTCTCAGTTGTGCTTTTCCACAATAGCCCTAGCTCTTCAGGAAGACTACTGCTAAAATAGGAAATTGGGGAAAAAAAACATTCATGTGGAACTCTTTTTGGATTTTGGCCATTTTTAAACTATGTTTTGACATAGTGGATTCCATGATTTGAAAGTTTAATCCTGTGTTTAAAAAACTGAGCTGATATTTTTATACGTATTTTAATAAACATTTTTCTCTTTGTGTTTTTCTTTTTTGTATTCCTTTTTTCTTTCTCATTCATTTCTACATATTAAAGCAATAAAGCATTTTAAAAAACAAGAACATAGAGGCTCAAGTGGTTTCTTTATGCACCCCTTTTGTCCATGGAAGACTGAGAAGGGAAAGTTACTACAGGGGAATAGCTAGTTATGCAAACAATGTTGTGAGGAGATACTTGATTTTTAAGATCATGGTCTGAATTATCTGGATGATGGAATGTCAGCATGGAATGGGTTGCATCTTGCATGAAATAGTAAAAAATATTGGCTAAAGTACATGGAGATTGATCAGGTGATCACAGTCTTAAACTCAAACTTGTGGAGATTGAAGACTAAAAGTAAGGACCTCAAAGATTTATACATTGTAGAAATAAGTAGCAATGTTCCTTTACTGGGGCCTCTTAAACCACTTAATTAAAAACAAATTAAAAATTGGTTCATAAAGTTAATCATCTTCATTGTCCACACACTATTGTTGTTTTGTTGACAGAGGTTTCATTGTATTTGTTTTTTTGTGGATTGTTATTAGCCATCTAGAGTTTCTATATGAAATGGGCAGTCATATACATTCCCTTAAAAAATAAATAAATAAATAAATCAGGCTGCATCAACAAGGACAGAGTTTCCAAATCATGGAACTACAGTTCCATTTTATTTTTCATTAAACATATTCTACCTCAAGTATTGAGTCTAGCTAGGCAATTCCCTTTAAGAAGAATTCAGAGAAGGGCAAGAACAATGATGGGGGATTAAAAACTAGCCTATAAAAAACTGAAGAAGCTGAGCTTACTTAGCCTTGAGATGAGAAGACTGAGGAGGAATAGGACAGCTTTTTTCCCCTAAATATCTGAACCTAGAACAATCAGGGGCTGTCCTCTATCTTTCTAGACTGCAGGACACAGAATAACGGATTTAAGTTAAAAGATGGCAGATACTGACTGAAAGTTAGAAAAATATTCTTAAAAATAAGAGCAATTCAAGCGTATAACCAGTTACCCAGAGAAAGAATAGTTGGGTCCCCTTCACTGGATTCCTTTAAGCAGAGGCTAGACAGTTATATGATGGGAACATCTTGTTTTGGTTTCTGCACTGAGGAAAGTTGCACTCAATGGCCTAAATGACTCCTTCCAACTCTAAGGTAGAGAAATCAACTCAATTAAGTGCACTTTTAGACTTGGGACAGTATAATTAGAAAAATGATTCAACTTTCAACTCAGAGTGATAGTTGAATTTGGGATGGCAAAGAAATGCAGACTGTTAGTCATCTTTTGTCAGCAGGTAGCTGAGCATTTAAATACAGTATAAAGCTATTAGCTCAAACAATGGGTGCATAAATCTATCAGTTTCAGTTTGCCCAGTTTCTTTTTTGTCTCTATCAATTTGTTCAATATGCATCAGTTTGCAGAGTTTCAAATATCTATACAAAATCTGTACACCCTTCATGAATATTTCCCTTAGGTGCGTGCATGCATGCATGCATGCATGCGTATATATATGTGCTTTTTGTAAGATAATGCATTTTTAAGCCATTTCATTTCCCTAATGTAATGAATTTGGCTGTCTACACCTTGTTTTCAGCTAAAAGCTGCATGACAAAATTACTTAAAAGTGCTTGTATCTGCATGTAATTGTGTTCTCGTTCACAGACGGTTTCAGGGTTCTTCTACACAGCCAATTTAAAATGCTATCCATCAGCGACTGACTTGGTAGAAAACCTTATTGGCATAAAACCTGCTGCCTCCACTGACAAATTGTGTTGTCCTTATTTACAATGAACAGATCAATTAAGCACAGTGACTGGTGGAGTCACCCAGCTTGTTTCCCTCCCCTACACTCCCCCACCCTATGTCACCAACTGGTGGAGAAATATCACCAATCACTCCCCTTAACTTGGGATGGGGCTGGTAGGAAACAAGTTCTGCCAGAGCTAGATGGCAGATTTAGCCTCAGTCAAAATTTGTTCTTTGCACAGATATATTCAAAAACCATAACTATGGCTCTCTCTCTACTGTTTTACCATGCACTCTTTAGCCACCACTGCCTACAAGGTGCTGATCTGTTGATTTTATTTATCTGACATATCTTATCTTTCATTCAAGAGCTCAAAGCAGTGAAGATACAGGTAGTCCCCAGTTTAAGAACAAATTCTACTTCCAAGGTCTGTCCTTAAGTTGAATTTGTATGTCAGCTGGAACAGTATTATTGTATAATACTGTATAAGTAGTATTATGTAATTAACTTGAACATTGTATATTTAACTCGAATCATTGTGTATTTAACTCAAATTTTGCTACAACAGGTTCGGTTCTTAACTATGGGTCGTCCTTAAATCAGGTGTTCTTAACCCTGGGGACTACCTGTAGTGCTTTCTCCTCCCTTTTTTCCCCTTACAAAAACACCTTTACAAGGTAGGCTGGGATAAGAAAATGACTGGTCCAGATATATCCAATGAGCTTCCTTAGTGAGGGTGGCCTAGAACTTGGGTCTCCCTGTTCCTAGTCCAATACCTTAACTACTATACGACACTAGCTCTCAGCTCTGGCAAGTACAGTACAGGGAGGAAGCCAAGTTTCAGAGAAATTGACTTTCCCAGTGACTAAAGCAGAATGGCCCTGGAGGACAGTACCCAGGGATCCAGAAGGGAGGGAATGCCTACAGCAGCCTAAAGTGTGCAACAGGTGGAACCTCATCCTAAAAGTTACTGAATTGTGGGTGAAGCCAATCAAATTGCACCTAGGGCAAAACTGCTACAACTTTTTACCTACTTAAAGGGAAATACTCTAGTTTAATATAGGAAGAAGTAAGGGCAGCTTTAAGCTGTGTCACGTATGGACTGGGAATGAGATGAAAGTGTGCCAAGAGCACAAGGTAGGAAAAAAGAGATTGCTGGGGCATGTTGGTATGTAGTTAGGTAATCGGGGGAAGAGTGTGGTTAAGTATTGTGGCAGTGCAACAAGGATCCACTTTGCATTTAAACACAAACTACCTTGCTATTCTGAACCATATTCAACTGTACTACAGCACAATTTCACTTTTTAATATTTGGAAAGGAAAATTCTTCCCTTCATTTTGAGGAGGCATTAGCTAGCAAAGCAAAGGTAAATGAATTCCCATTCCCAGTTTACTAGCCATGCTGATTTAAATCTATTTTAAACTTCATAAAATGACATTGCTTTCCTGTTAAATACTTAAACATTGTATTATGAATACATATATTCATCTCCATATTATGAGTAATTAAGTAAGATCCAGAATACACTATATTTTATTTGTTGTATTTATACCTTCCAGAAGCACAGACATGGTACAATAAAACTTCAAAAGGAATATTATTATACAGTCAAACAACTGCAACATTTTACCTTTTTCAGTGCTAGAGAAAATGGAGATGATTTTGTTCCTAGGCTTTCTCTCTTCTGGTACAGAAGGAAGAGGTTTCAAGCTATGATTAGCAGATAAAGGATCTTTGCCTCCTGAACTGAAGATAGTACTGCTCATCCGAACAGGTGGAGCTGGTGGCTTGTCTTCGAGCTCTCCGTTGTCAGACATAGTTAATGGCTAAACAATACTCTGAAATTGAACAGTGAAAACTTTGTCACCAGATTCATCAGTGCATTACAGACTGTTTATTCTTATCCTATATTCGTTAAAAGTTCTTACTGAATAGAGTTGATATTTATTACTATCAAATCATACACCCCAATGACACAAGATAGATAATTCATCTTGGCAATATAAATTTTTACTGTCCAATATTATAAATAGAAACTTAAGATAATTCCACAAAACAGCAATTAATAAAAATATTCCATGTAAAAACAAAAGAAGGCAGCCTTACAAGGTCCAGTAAACAAAAAGAAAAAAATAGCTTGCCTAGAAGTTTTCAAAATAAGAAATACAATGACTAATGGCTGAAGCATCATGAAAGCACTCCAAATAAATAAATAAACAAATAATACAGGATATTTACATCATGAGCAAGAGATCAATTCCAGCAAAATCCTATATAGGTCAACTCAGAAGTCCACTTTGCTGAAATCTGAATCAAGTAAACTAACAAACCTTGCCTTCCCTATACCCCAGCTTTTAGCATATCTGGAAAGGAGCAGTCTGTACATTAAAGAAAGGCCTTGTACATTAAAAAAACAAAATCAGTTTGCCACTTTAGGCTAAGCACCTTTTAGCAATCTCATCTCTCACCAACCTGCAAATGAACAAGATCAAAGTCACTTAATACAGAGTTTGAAGTACATAAAAAACATTCTGGTTTCAACCTGAAAAGGTATTATTTTGTTATTAAGGTTGGTGAGACTTTTAAAAGTCTCTTTAAAAAAAAAAAAAAAAAAAGAGGTAACAATTTTTTAACAAGACAAGTACAACAATTAAGAACTGTTTTCACTTCAGGTGTTTGTTCAGCAATTTCAACTTCGTACAACTTTCACCTTGCATTCCCAATACCAGAAAGTTAACACCGTCATGTCATTAAACTTCCCTTAGCTAATTAATTACACATATTTTAGTTAAACCAAAAAGCACTTCTGTTTTTATCAGCATGGATTCCAACCTATCATTCCAACCTATCAGGGAGAGATGAGGAAGACTTCTTAAGATGGTATTTGTCATCTTAAATACTTGCTATATACAGTGCATTCGGAAAGTATTCAGACCCCCTTCACTTTTTTCAATTTTGTTATGTTGCAGCCTGATATTAGAATCGCTCAAATTCATTTTTTTTCTCATTAATCTACACTCAGTAACCCATAATGATAAAATGTAAACAGAATTTTAGAAATGTGTGTAAATTTATTAAAAAGGAAAAACTGAAATATTACATTGACATAAGTATTCAGACCCTTTACTCAGTACTTTGTTGAAGCACCTTTGGCAGCAATTATAGCCTCGAGTCTTTTTCAGTATGACGCGACAAGCTTTGTGCACCTGGATTGGGGGATTTTCTGCCATTCTTCTGCAAATCCTCTCAAGCTTAATCAGGTTGGATGGGGACCATCGGTGGACAACCATTTCCAGGTCTCTCCAGAGATGTTCAATAGGGTTA